AAATCTAAATCTGCCTCCGCTCATTTCAGCTCCCTCTTCTAGAGCGGACGTCTTCAAACCTGGATGAGCACAGGTCAGAGTTACCCAAGAGTTTGCTCTGGAATGCCAATTCCCAGGCTGCTGCCCCCGGACACTCTGTCGGCTCAGTGGGGCTCAGGAACCCACATTTTTTTTTTATATATATGAAATTTATTGTCAAATTGGTTTCCATACAACACCCAGTGCTCATCCCAAAAGGTGCCCTCCTCAATACCCATCACCCACCCTCTCCTCCCTCCCACCCCCCATCAACCCTCAGTTTGCTCTCAGTTCTTAACAGTCTCTTATGCTTTGGCTCTCTCCCACTCTAACCTCTTTTTTTTTTTTTCCCTTCCCCTCCCCCATGGAGGAACCCACATTTTTATTAGCACCTCTACTGACTCAGACTCAGGCCACCCTCGGAGAAATACTGGTCTAGAAACCCGGGGTCACAAACCGCTCACCCACCTCTGATTCAGGAGAGCCCCTACCCGTCACAACAGACCCAATCCTGAAAAACCCTACCTCTGTCCATGTTTGCACGTCAAATCTTGTTTCCTCGTTGATTTGCCTGCTGATTTCTGGAATGGTTTATCTCGACTTAAAGTTTCAGTAAACAATGAAACTTAACTTAGTTTCAGGTTTCTCTCTACCTCTGGTCTTAAGGCAATTAGGGATCCCAGAGATAAGCTACGTGGTTACATTGACTGGTCTACTTTTTATATGTTGTCTCAATAGAATGTTTATGGAATCCCTTTAGAACAGTTCTCGAAGGGGGCGCCTGGGTGGCACAGTCGGTTAAGCGTCCGACTTCAGCCAGGTCACGATCTCGCGGTCCGTGAGTTCAAGCCCCGCGTCAGGCTCTGGGCTGATGGCTCAGAGCCTGGAGCTTGTTTCCGATTCTGTGTCTCCCTCTCTCTCTGCCCCTCGCCCGTTCATGCTCTGTCTCTCTCTGTCCCAAAAATAAATAAACGTTGAAAAAAAAAATTAAAAAAAAAAAAAAAGAACAGTTCTCGAAGTTCAGCATGTATCAAAATCACCTGGAGAAGAAGGATGCTTGTTAAAATGCAGACTCACAGGGGCGCCTGGGTGGCTCAGCTGGTTGAGCATCTGACCTCGGCTCAGGTCATGATCTCGGAGGTCCATGAGTTTGAGCCCCATGTCAGGCTCTGTGCTCACGGCTCGGAGCCTGGAGCCTGCCTCAGATTCGGTATCTCCCTCTCTCTCTCTGCCCCTCCCCTGCCTGCGTTCTTTCTCTCTCTCAAAAATAAATAAAATATTAAAAAATTTTAATTTTAAAATGTTCTCAGGTTTAACAATTCAGGGATGCATAGGACACCTCTCTCTACCTTCCAGAAGATTGGAATCTTCTGGAGATGCTGCAGTGAAGGAGGGGAATGGCTGGGTGCTGGGTATGTGAGGAGTTCATTTTGTTACTGTTATTCCTTCAACAATACAGCCTCATGATATTTACTCTTGTGAAATTATTGCCTAAGGCACATCATGTTTTAAAATAACCTATTTCCTAGTGGCAAGTTTTAAAAGGAGACGAGATGTGAGAGGTAAGGAAAAGATAAGAAGCAAGGTGAGGCAGACACTTGACTTTGATGAAGTCTTGGAGCAGGAGCAGATGAGACCCCCATGGAGTTGCTGGGATCCTGGTACCATTCTGTGGTGGCAGGTTCCCACATTTTGCTTCTCATAATCATGTTGAGGGGTTGAAGTCACATCATATCAGGTCATGCCCCTTCCCTGCTCTATCTTTCTAAAATAAAAAAAAAAATGCAACTGGGATAGAAGAAAATTCAAGAAAGGAATCTCTCTTTTCGGAGTAGAGAAGGACTTCTGAATTACAACTCATAACCCAGAACACATAAAAAAAAAACTGATAAATTTTACTACAAAAAAAAAAAAAAAAAAAAAGGCATGGAAAAAAAAAAATACCATCTGGAAGCTTCAAAGACCAGAAAGCTGGGAACACCATTTGTAACTACACCACAAATAAAGGGCTTATTTCTGCACTACAAAAATTAATAAGAAAAAGACCAAGAGACCAATCGAGAAAATAATGAACGTTTTCAAAAAAGGAGCTGCAGAAGGCTTTTAATTATGCATAGATTGATCTGGAGGGACACAGGATGGTCAGGAGATGTGGTTGCTGTTGGGGATACTTGGCAGAGGAGAAACAGTGTGGGGGGAAGGTTCTTCACTGTTCATCTTTTTATACAATACTTTTTGATTTGGAATTATGTAATGTATTCTCTATTCAAATTTTAATTTAATTAATTTAAATAATTAACCAAGCAGTTCTTTTTTTTTTTTTTTTTTTAAAAGTTTTTTTATTTTTTGGAAAGAGAGAGACACAGCATGAACGGGGGAGGGGCAGAGAGAGAGG